AAAATTATCTTTGAAATTTTTTAAAAACTTTAGGTTTTTTTCTTGTTAAAAAATATTGAAAGTATATTTCCCAAAAAATCTTCCATAAATTCCTTTTAATTGTTATTTATAATAAATAATTAAATGTTTTAAAATAAAATAAACATTTTTGAACCAATTGCTTCTCCATAAGATTAAAATTTTATTATATGAAAAATTGCCATATAAATTGGGAAAAAAATAAATTGGTTTCTTTTTGCCTGCATTTTGAAAATTTTTTTTTTTTATTTTTAGGGGAATGTATGTTTGCCATGACTTCTTGGGAAAGAATTTTTCAGGTTTTGAGTTGCCTTTTCGAAAGATTAAAAATATTTAAAATTTTTAAAATAACTTTTTTAAAAGATAAAAGCGAGTTTTTTTTTAAAAAATTACAACAATAAAATATATTAGGAATTTTTTTGACTTTTGGTTTTTTTGAAAACCTTTTGGCGAAAAAGATATTTATTTATTTATTGTCATAAAAAATTGAAATTACATTGTTTTAAAATAGATTGATTTTTAACTCAAGAACTTTATTTTTTAATCAAAATTATTAATTTTTTTTTTTTTTTTTTTAAAAAAACATAAAGATTGATTTTCAGTTTTTATTAAAAAAACCTTTTTTCCTCCGATTTAAAAATAAATTTTTCCATTTAAAATTTATGCTTATCCAAAATAGTTTAAATAAAATTATTGAGTTTAAATTTAAAATTTTTATTAGAATTTGTCAAATTTGGAACTACAATGTGAACGTAATTCAGTTATTGAACCTTGCATACTCTGTGTATTGTCTATTTTTGAAAAAAGGAATTACTGCCCATAAAATAACCTAATGACAAAAAACAGTTTGAAACCTGATTTTTGCAAGGGAGAAAAAAGATACAAAATAAAAGGAAATAAATAAAATTTAGTTTGGGATCGACAACATTGTATTATAAGATATCAACATGATAAAAAATTGTGGAGATGTATCCATGATCCTAATGAAAAATGATTTGTCCTTAAGAAGAAGGAAATGAATATGATAAAACATTGAATGGGATCAATGTGGTTAAAAAACCAAACAAAAAAAAGAATTTCAAAATTCAAAATTTATATTAGGGATGGAAACAATATATGGAATATATATATATATATATATATATTTTATATATATATATTCTATTTTTTCAGAATAATACCTCATTCTTATATAACCCCAATTTAATTAAATTATTCCAATTAATTTGAACTTAAAAAAATTATTAAACCTCTATTATTAACGTTAATACTTCCAATGAAAATTTTAAATTTTTAAACCGTCTAGTCTGCACATAATTTGAAATAATTTTGAATGCTGTCAATGTTAAATTTTTTAAAAAGGGAAATTTTCGATATGACATGAAACAGTCTCTAAACCAGGGTTGGAATAAGACTGACAAATTACCAAATTAATTGAAATAGAATAAAAAATTTTTGTATATAAATTTTATTTTGTAATAATTTATAAAAATAAAATTGATTTCTTAAATTGGATATTTTTTTTTATTTTATATAAAAAGGATTTATTTTTGGATAAATATACCAAATTATTTATTACCTATATTATATATATATATATATATATATATATATATATATATAAATTCAATAAGAAGAAAAAAAAAAACAGATTTAGAATCCACAGTTCTCCGACATTTACTTTTTCAACAAGTGCTTAAATTTAACTATAATATTAATATTTTAATGATATTTTTATTATAAATATAAGGTCATCCCATACGTTCTGTCCGAATTTTAACTTTTGGTTAAAATGAACGAAATTTAAAGAGTATTTTATAATGTCTAATGGAGTTAAACATTATTTTTATGTTTAGATGCGTTTAAACTGGTCAAATTTTATTTCAGAGAACAATAAAATTAAATTTTGTTTGATTAAAAACCTACTAACATGGAAGTCCCCAAGAATCATTTGAGGCACATAATGCTTTATGAGTTCAAGAAAGGAAACTCAGAAGCCGAGGCGGCAAGAAACATTCACTCAGTTTATGGAGAGGAATGTGAATGAAAGAACTTGCAGAAGATGGTTTGCAAAATTCAGAGGTGGAGATTTCACCCTTGAAGATGAAGATCGAACCGGACGTCCAGTTGAGTTTGATGAAAAGCTTCTTGAAGCAGCCCTTGAAGAAAATCCTGCTTTATCAGTTGAGGAATTGGCAGTGGTTCTCAGTTCAAACCATACAACTGTTCATCGTCATCTTCATCTTCAACTTGGAAAAAAGTTCCTAAACTTGGAAAATGGGTGCCTCATGAATTGTCTGAAAACAACCTCAAATCCTGAGTTGACATCTGCTCTTCTCTCCATTCTCGCCAACTTGTTTCACCTTTTTTGGATAGACTTGTGACTGGCGACGAAAAATGGATCTTTTATCGAAATGTTAAGCGTCGTAGACAGTGGCTTGGTAAAGGGAAGGACCCCAGCCACAGCCGAGAAGGGAACTTCATGGGCAAAAGGTTCTTCTTTCAATCTGGTGGGATCGCCAAGGAATAATCCACTTTGAATTCTTACCACCTAATGCAACAATTAATGCTCAAATATACTGTCAGCAATTAGAGCGTTTGAACCAAGCTTTGAGGAAAAAAAGACCTGCTCTAGTGAATCGAAAAGAGGTGATGTTTCATCAGGACAATGCGCGACCCCACACAGCAAGAATCACGTCACAAAAGATCGAAGTACTTGGTTGGGAGAAAATTCCTCATCCACTTTATTCTCCTGATCTTGCTCCTTCAGACTACCATTTGTTTCGTAGCTTACAGAATCATTTGGAAGAAACAGCTTTTGTAGCACAGGAAGAGGTTAAAACTGACATTTGTGAGTTCTTCGAATCAAAGCCAAAAGAATTTTACAGTAATGGAATTAGTAAGCTTGTTAATAGATGGAAGGAAGTCATAGGTAATCAGGGAAAATACATTGTTGATTGAATCTGTAATTAAATGTAACATTTGGTCACTTGTTTTCTTTATTCAAAATTCGGACAGAATTTATGGGATGACCTGATATTTTACATTGAGACACGGAAATTTATGTTTCGAGATTTAAAGTCATCATCTCGTCATCAGGCAATATTCAGTAACTTTGGTGAAAATGATTTACATTTGAAAATAGAAAACAATATGCTTTCTTTTTAAAGAGTTTAAGATAGAGGGTAATCTATCTAGATTTTTAAATTTTATGGGAATGTCTCATTTAACTAATCAAAAGAAAGGTCAAAGCTAAATTAGAGAAGTTAAAGATATAGGTTAAGTGTTGGATGGGGGTTGGTGAAAATGCATCTGTCATATTCAACACCCAGCGATGACAGTCTGTTTCATACTTAAAAGCAATGCCTGACAATTGTATTTAAATATGTAACAGACTCTCACCACTGGGTGTTGTCTTCAGTCTCCATTTATATCTACTTACGCTCTGACCCCTAATATTGATCACTTTAACCCATAAATATTGCATACTTTAAAACTATATTTTTATTATACATATGTTATAGACAAGCGTATGGTTGCAAGAAAGAAATACGACAACAGCAGAAATAGATTTACGTGATTTATTTCAATAGGAACGTGTGGTTTGGGGACAGCTACCTTGTGGTATAGTTCATAGGCCGGCTGAAGATCTGGGTTGATCTCTCATAGTAGTTCTCGCTGGTTGGCGTGGCGCTGCTGCTGGCTGCTCAGCCTGACCGTGACAGGTCTCTTCCCTGGCCTCCTGTTGACTGCCATTGTACTTCCGTGTGATTCCTTTTATGGCGTTTTTTTATGGCTTAACAGGCTCGAAAAACGACGCGATATAATTGGAGGGAAGCATTTTATTGGTCGAAAAATAGAAACACTTTAAAATATTATTTTGTTTTTCGACCGGAACTCGTGCGTCGGGAACATGCGTAAACGAAGATAATCCAGTTTTGTGACGGGGCCTTATCCTGTTCATCATCGGAAAATCTCGCTCTTGAGTATGTTAGATTATTTACCTGTAAATCAGCCGAGATTTGTCTTATTTTATTTTATAACACACACACACACATATATATATATATATATATATATATATATATATATATAATAATCAAAAAAGAAAGAGAAAATTTTATTTATATGTTTAGTCGTAGTGCGCTATGTGGCTCGGTTTAAATTAAGAAGTCGGTTCTTTTGATTGCTGTCTATCTGGAATAGGAAACTAGACAAATCTTTGTTTGATATTTCTATTTGACTGAGGGAGCAAAAGTGAGAGTGTTTATTCCTTTACATTTTGTACCAGGGGTCGGCAACCTTTTGCTAACTATATGCCGACTTAGGGTTTTAAAATCATTCAGTGTGCTGACAGCATATGTATTTTTATACAAGTCAAGGTCAATATATTTGTTCTACAATATATTTCATTTAGTAGTATATAGTATATATATATATATACTTTAGTATATATTAAAATTGAAACAGCTAAATATCTTCTTAGAGTTGTAGTAGTTATTGGTTCGGACTTCGTGATGTAATTTGCGGGTGCGTGCCATGTGTGGCACAGGTTACTAACCGCTGTTCTATACCACTTATCCCCATGCAATCTAATGGGTGTTAAGCGAATTCCTCTGACGGACAAGGCAAGATAATCCCATATAACTTTTAGAATATTGTCAAAATGGTCATAGATATATTTCAGAGCAAAAATAAAATTGAATCCAAGACAGACAGAGATTCTCTTTTCAGATTTTTGTACATATTCCGCAGAATCATGTCCCAAAGTTTCGTCTAATGTTAACGATCAACATTACAAGAAGAATTGGCAAAATTTCTCAACTATGAAAAATAACGATTCCCAAAACCAACTGTTTCCGGACACAATCAGGCAATCTTGCTAGTATAATAATTTTTAGAAAAATGTGTTTTATATTATCGAAAGAGAATTTGGGGCATGTTTACAGTAGATATTTTGTGTGTTTATTCAAGTTAAACTGATGAGTTTTGTAAATTGTCTGTCTGTCTGTCCCTCCCTTTCTCACAGTTTCTGTTCAGGTTATATTTTTTTTTAATGAAATATTGTATTATTTACCAATTTGTGCAATTTTATCTACCAGCCAACCAAGTCAGATTTTTTTTTATTGTGAAGCGTACAAGAATAAAAATTAAAAAGATCATCGAATGGTGTATTTTGTTTTGTAGTTCAGCTTTACCGAAGAAAATCATTTTTTCAAAAAATAAAAAGTGTTCTTGTAGGAATTAATTAAACATAGTCTATATAAATTGAAAATATCTATCTCAGTCTGCTCGCGTCTCTCTGTCAACGGCATTCTATTCACGTCTGTCAATATATTTGCATCTGTCTGTCTGTCTCATTCTATTCGCGTCTGTTTGTCTCATTCTATTCGCGTCTGTTTGTCTCATTCTATTTGCGCCTGTCTGTCTGTCTCATTCTATTTGCGCCTGTCTGTCTGTCTGATTCTATTTGCGCCTGTCTGTCTGTCTGATTCTATTTGCGCCTGTCTGTCTGTCTGATTCTATTTGCGCCTGTCTGTCTGTCTGTCTGATTCTATTTGCGCCTGTCTGTCTGATTCTATTCGCGTCTGTCTGTCTCATTCTATTTGCATCTGTCTGTCTCATTCTATTTGCATCTGTCTGTCTCATTCTATTTGCATCTGTCTGTCTGTGTGCATATACAGATATCATTAATGATAGTCTAACGATAAAATAAAGATATTTTTTTACACAACACGACAAATACTTTAAATATGATCTCGCGCGTCAAGGTACATGAGCCAAAACCCATTAATTAATGGCAGAACATCACACTTTGAATATTTGAGATATATATCAGTCACATACATATGACAATATAAACGAATATATGTAAATATATGGTGATTGACACGTAGGAAAACAAACTCTTTCTTCAGTTTTAGATTCAGCGGCAGTGAGACCGTGATTCAAGAGACCTGCTTTACTTCAGTACTTAAATTCTTTATGCATTCTCATGTGACTCTTCAAACCTGCTGCTGACCCACCTACTTTGTCACAAAACTGACATAGACCTATCAACGTAGTCCTGCTTAGAGATAAGATGTGTCTCGTTTCCCACAGAATGGTACATTATCAGCTTACTTGACTAAACACTGGTATATCTAATAATTCTTCCAAACCAAGAGATCAAAGAACTCTTTCCAAATATAAGTCACTCATTGTGACCTCACACATGCATACATACGCAAAAATCATCTCTAAATAATAATGACCGTTTACTACGTTTTCTAGCATATTCGTCTTTTAAGGCGGAAGCTAGTTCTTGTTGCAGATATCAGCTCAGACAAATGCTGTGCTTGTTCAATAGCCCATCTGTGGTTTATACTGCAACAATGCTGAACGAACCTTAGTTACAATTTCTAAGAGAGAGAGAGAGGGAGAGAGAGATAGATAGAGAGAGAGGGGTAGAGAGATAGATAGAGAGAGAGAGAGAGAGGGAGATAGATAGAGAGAGAGGGAGAGAGAGATCAACAATTTGAGCAAGGCCAATGTGCTCAAACCCTTGGTCACAAGGTGTGATGATTTCTTGCAAGCGGAACCATCGATGGCCACAGGTCATTTCGTCTAATTCCACTCACAAGGCTTGGGTCAACTCACGATACGGTTTTCAGTCACTTTCCAAGTGTGCCGCATGTTGGATCACCTCCTCAGCCTCATAATATCAAGAAATCAACTTCTTGACAAATCGACCCTGGTGGGATTCGAACCCGGGTACTTTCATTCAGATATTTATGTTCTATCTGGTTTATTCAGGAAGTAGAAAATGGTTTTGTTTGTATTTCTGGAATGAGGAGTTATCATTATTTACATTATTTATATTCGGACTATTGTCCTCATCTTTATTGTTATATCAAGGTTGCAGCATTAGCAGCCAAACATGACAGCCAGCAACAGCAGTTGCAACCTAATCAGCAGCTAGGTTAAGTTTAAGGTAGCAAATTGTCCTACCTCATTGAATAACCTTTTACCTTGAGTGGATCTTGGGTCTTGTATTCAGTGAACAATTAATAATAAAAAAATATCTGAAGCAGTTCTTCGAGATTACCATCCAGGCTTTTGACGAACATCCTTTATGTAGAAGGGTTGATAAACCGTAAAAAAATCAATCAGTCTTTAAGCAGAAACAAGTGTGTGTTTCACAACTGGTCGAGTATAGGTTCTCACTTGTGAGACTGTCTTCCGGCTTCTTGCTTTTCAGTCAAATTTGATCTTCAAAAATTTATATGCAATGTCAATCGTTGTCTTGTCTGCTTGAATCGTGTTCTTTCAATTTCCTCTCTCCTAATAATGATTAGATTGTTTCACTTACAGTAATCCCCTTGTGTCTTAGTGGCTTTATCACCTTGCTCAGGATATATATATATATATATATATATATATATATATATGTGTGTGTGTGTGTGTTCAAAGTGACCGACTCTCAGCAAAATGTCAGAAAAGATGAAAAAGATTTGCTGGTAAAGACGAGTATATCTCCTAGAAGATAATTTCAAAGAGGATGATGGCCACTTTTAGATAATGTATAAAATATTCGTGTGTTCTAAAAAAAAAATAATGCCATTTTACTTGAAAGGATATGAAACAAATGCAAGCTAAATTTATTTAAATATTAATGTGTTCTGAAAATAATGTCGTTTAACTTAATGAAAAGATATAAAAATGAATGTAAATTAAATTTATTTAGATACTAGGGTGTTCGGAAAATAATGATGTTTTACTTGAATAGATAAAAAACAAATGCAAGTTAAATCTATTTAAATATTAGGGTGTTCGAAAAATTATGACGTTTTATTAGAAAGAATAAAGGGAAAAAACTATATGAAATTAATTTAAATATTAGGGTGTTTGGAACATAATTACGTTTTCCTAGAAAAGTTATAAAAAGAATTCAAATTAAATTTATTCAAATATAATTTATCAAAATGGCGATCACCTTTATTTTCAACAGCTGCAGCTCTGCAGAAAAGCAAATTTCTGATTCTGCATCTAAAGCAATCTGCGTTTTTCTCTGGCAAAAAGTTTCAAAGACAGTTTTCAAATTCTTTCTTTCTGAATGTTCTACGACTTAGGAAATATTCTTGGAATCGAAACAAAGGAAAATCTGGTGATTATGGTGTCGTAGTTAGATCATCCTAAATTCCTTAATTGTCTTTCTCCCTACACTATAAATACTGGGCGACTTATCGCCTCGATCTCTTTTTCATTTCTTCATTTCAACGAACACCTCTACAATGTGAGCTCTCGAAAAAACATAGCGTTTCCCACTAGCGGGAAAACGCTGTGAACATTACACACACACACACACACACACACACACACGTACGTACGAACATTCACCAACATACAAACTCTCTACGTTCATACCCAAACACAAATGTTAATGTCTTTGTCACTTGTAAAATTGTTGTTTAATACATATATTTGTTGACACACACACACACACACACACACACACACACACACATATATATATATATATATATATATATATATATATCTGTCTTGATTTTCATTTCATCTTCGGTTGGACTAAATTTGAGTCCGCCATGTTCTTGTAGTTTGGACCTTCTAGCAGGAAGGTAACACTTGTGTTTCTAATACAACAACATTCAAACACACACGGTCTTCTACAATGGAGGATGTGGAAGATTCCTAAAGTTCTTTTCTATTTTTTTCTTACGTTTGCTTTACACAGAGTAACCTCAAAAATTGTCATGCTGGAGAATAACACCTTTTCTATCTACCAAAGCAGGACACGTTCGTTATAATGCTTTAATTATCCAATCAAGTTACTGGCAATAAATATCTGCGGAGATGGCCCTTCCAGCACGTAACAGACGACACCTTTCACGTTCCATCATAAACAACGCAAATACTTTTGTACATTATACGCTACTTCAAATTCAAGTCATTCTTATTCACGTTAATTAAAAACCCGTTGACCGGATGTGAATGCTACGATCTTCTTCTTTACTGTGTCCACACAGGACGTAGGTGATCATGACTCTCCACAACTTCCTGTCCTTTGTAGCTCTTAATAGATTTTGTCTTTTAGTTATTTCTCCTAAACCTTGTTCCGCCATCCATTTACTCAAGGTCAGTAAGTATGTTATGCATTGTTTTCCTCTGTCCCTCTTCACTTCAATCTGTCCTGTGAGTATCAGATTTTCCAAGCTCTCTTTCCTTATTATATGCCCTAGAAATTTCAACTCTTTCTCTTCCTGATTTGAAGTATCCTTTTTGTCCACATTTTCTCTAAAACTTAGTCGTTGCTCACATATTCGGTCCATGGTACTCTCAGCATTTTTTTGTATAACCATTTTTCTGTTGTTTCGAGTCTCTTCTTTATCTCTAAGGAGATCATCCAGTACTCACTGGCATACAGGAAGACAGATAACACGTAACAGTTTAGTAATCTTTTCCTTGTTTCTAGCAAAATTTTCTATTTTTTTAATACACTGCTTAGCTTTTGGAAGGCATGTTTTGGCTATCCCAGTACGCCTTCGGATTTCAGTGTCACACTTTGCATCGTCTGTTCTTAGATATTTAAATTTTTGTATGTCTGATTTGCAATTCACACTTTGTTAACAACCAAGCATTCTGTCTTCCTGCAGGTGATGTTTAATCCGTCCTTCTCGTTATCATTCGCTATTTTCTGTAGCTGATTTTGTAGTTTTCTTTCTGCGTGTACTAACAACACTGTGTGATCTGCCTATAATATGTTGTCAAGATTGTGGCCGCCAATACTGGTACGACTTTTAATTTTCTCAGAATAGGTATAGGATAAATAAGTCTTTATTTCGCTCACTGGGGTAGACTGTTCTAGTTCCGCGTGTCCTGTTTAATGGATGTCAGTTATCAGTTATCTCCCCTTAATTCCCCTCTCCAAGTTCTCCACTGCTTTAACCGGGTATTGAACTCAAACTCTTTGGGTCCTGTCACTGGATCTAACCAACGCCTTTACCCACTGCGCCATGGTTCAGCTCGACATTCCACCACGGAGTGTACAACGGCCAAAACGTTGTAATATGGCGACTAAGATGACGACAATAGTCCGAATTGTTTTTACGTTTGCAAATGGTATTATAAATAGTAAGATTATATTTTTTATATTAATTGAATGGAGCATTATCAACCATTGCACCTATGAATAAAAATATTTCTTTTCAATTGTATTTCTTTATAAAATGATAAATAATAAATCTTTATAAAACGTAAATAATAAATATAGTATTGTATTTGCTTCACATATTTTTATAATCTTGTAAATAAACGCTGCCGAGTAAGTGAATGTAGTACAGAATAATAGCAGTGTCAAGGGAATAACTGTCCTTTTGACAGGCTGTTTTTATTTTATTTTGTTTTGTTTTTTGCAAGCAGAAAAGGGGAAATAATTAAAATTCAAACGTCGGTTAAAGAACTAGTCACGAATCTTGTCACTAATATGCTGAGTCATATATCTACCTTGAGTGGTTAAAAGGGCCCACTCGGTGACCCTCGAAGAAGGTTCGTTAAACTGGCCTAAAGTGAAGTTAAAACGACAACCCCGCTTCAACGCGGGGCCGGTACACAACCTCACACCCATCTTCCAAGAACTAGACTTCTTTGTCCACAGGCGTCACCTCCTTCACCCACAAGAGATATGCTACCATTGCTTCACTGTATACGTTGACAATACAGTTAATTTTAATTTAGCATATCTTGTCACCTTTTTCCTTCAATCTCATCAGGCACACTGTTTGCTATTGTTGAAATCTCACGCAGTATATAGTAACTGTAGGTCAAAAGTTGATTCCAGGTTTTGATGTTGGCAGTGGGTTCGCATTTTATAATAACCACTATCTTTTTTGCTTTCTGTTGCCATGCAAAACACATTTTTCATCACCTTTAACAATACGGCACAAAAATAAAAGGTTCCAGGTTAAAAGACAGCTGCAGATGGTGAAATGTTGCCTTTGTTTCTCAAGGGAAAGGCCATGAGGAACATAAATTCCGTCTTTGTTAAACTCTGATATGTCGAAGTGTATCGTTTATAGACGTCACTCTGAGATAGAAGATATGATAAACTGGTGACAGACACAGTTTCATATTAATCAACCTTGGTTCTGCCTTGGTTCGTTGTCTATGGTGAGGACATATGATAATTACTTTCCAAACACCCTAATATAACATTTACATTAATAATGGCGCCATTTTTAGGCCTTGAAAATTTCTGATATTATCGTGTCCATTTTTTTCTGTTTTGTTTAACACTTTTAGAAAATTTTGTAAATGTAAGGCCCCAGAAGGATATATATTAATATAATATATCACCTATAGAAAGATTTATTTCAGGAAAAAGAAAAGAAAGCTATTTTTGTTTCAATTTGACATTAAAATTTGAATTAAAAGTTCCTTGAATTTTCAATGTTATATTTGTTTCTCTTTGTATATGTTGTAGCACACCTATGGGTATATCTCCATTCAAATAAATACAATAGTAAATACTGTATGCTGATCTGCAGTCGGAGATTCGTCTCCAGCTGTGCTGGTCAAACTCTTTTCCTCCGGGCAGAGAGGATCCCCAGACGAGGCTATGTCGAAGGGCAGAGTCTCGTCTCGGTAAACAGCTATCCGACTCCGTTTTATACGGGTCTACGGGGAATTTTTGGCCGAGCCTACGGGCTCAGATACCCCACATTAAATTCGTTCTTGTACCCCATCTGACCACGTGGGTCGGTTGGTAGATATCATGCAGTTGGAGATTCATTGTGGAATTCACTTCTAGCAGTTAACTACTACTTCTACGTGCCACTGGCGAATCTTATATGTGTTGTTCTTGTCCTAAGTGTTATCGTTCATTACCAACCGTCGTTTGATTATTCTATTCAGTAACCTTCCCTGGGTTACAACACTATATGAGATTTTTATTTATGAGACTGAAATTTTGTCCACTTTTGGGATAAGAGGCTGGGTTTTTGTCATGATTCAAGACAAGGGTGTGTCTTCTCATCGGACTTATTCAACTAATACACAGTGAGGCAATTCTGAGAGAATAAGAAACTATATACCCACAAAAAAGAAGACATTGGTTTTAAAATAAGTATGTAAAGATATTGTTTTAATGAAAATGACAAGGCTAATTTTAAAATAGCATTCAATATTTCAGTGAATCGTTTTTAAAAGTAACGTTATTACTTTCATTCAAAAACTATGCTACACAACTTTTTCACCTATTTCCAAATCTTTTCAAACTGTCTCTTCAAATTTATTTTTCGTGCAACTGTTTAGATCAAGAAACGTGTGATTTAAACACTAAATTTTGAAAATTTATCAACATTGACTGGAGTCAATAAAAACTGTTTTTAATATGAAGAAAAAAGTTAAAAAAAACAACAACAAAAAACTTGAACATTCTTCAAACAGGCTAAACTACAGCTGCTATATTAAAATTACAAACACATAATATGAATCCTCTTTTCACACTGTAACATTACGCGGCAGCACATCTTGGCTGAATTTTTGAAAATTGATTATTAGAGGACATTACCCTCGGGCTCTGTGTAGTAAAAGCCACTTCTAAGATGATCAAGTCTAGCCTTTTAAAGAAATGTTAGTTAGACATCTTACTTTGGTGTGTTGTGACGGCTTCTAAGAAAATCTTAAGGTTTGGACAGACATTTATGATTGAGAATTTCTGTTAATTCCTACTCTTTTTTTTTCTTTCTCTGATTCTTGCTATTTTTCTGTTGTAGATTTTATTTTTCTTTGCTTTTCTGTTTCATTATCTTTCTTTTTTTTTTTTTATTATCATCATAAAATTTCTTTTCTTCATCTTTTCCTTTTTTATTTATTCATAATTTTTATTTTGTCTGTTTTTCAGTTTTTAATTATTTTTTTTTTCTCCCAGTGATTTATCTTTTCTTTTTTTTTTTTTACTTAGATTTTTTTAGTTTTTATTAATTTTCATTCTTTCAAGTTGTTTTTTTCCTTCTCTTTGTTTTCAAGGTTTGGCTTATTTTTCATTTTTTTTTTTATTTTCTTCATTTTCTTTTATTGTTTCTTTTTTATATTTTCTTCATTTTGTCTTTTTTTTTTTTTTTAAGGGTTTTTAAAAATTTTATTTTTTATTTTCTTTCTTTTTCAGGTTTCCGTCTCCCTTTCTTTTGTTCTTTCTTTCTTTCTTTTTTACTTTCTTTCTTTCTCCCTTTTCCTCAGTCCCTCTTTCAAAGATTTTTCTCTTTCTTTTTATTTTCCCCACTCCTCATCCTCCCATATACTTCCTTTTTTTTCTCACTATTTTCTCTTTTTTCTTTTATCTCTCTGTTTATCTTCTCTCCTTCCACAACTTCATTTCTGAAAAAAAAAAAAACTTCCCTTTCTCCTCATTCTCTTTCTTTCTATTCTCCTCCCACCTTTGTTTTACTTCACCTCTTCCTGTTTCTCCTCCCACCTCTGTTTTACTTTACCTCTTCCTGTTTCTCTTGCAACCTTTGTTTTACTTCACCTCTTCCTGTTTCTCCTCCCACCTTTGTTTTACTTCACCTCTTCCTGTTTCTCCCCCCACCTTTGTTTTACGTCTCCTCTCTCATCTCATTCTTCTATTTTTGCTTTACTTCTCTCTCCTCATCCTCTTCCTCTTATTCTCCTCTGCCTTTCTTTTCATTCTCTTCCCCCGTTTCTCCTTCCACTTTTGCTTTACTTCTCTCTCTCCTCATTCTCTCCATCTTATTCTCCTTCCATTTTTGCTTTAATTATCCTCTCCCTTTCTCCTTATCCTCTTCCCCCGTTTCTCCTTCGACTTTTGCTTTACTTCTCTCTCTCCTCATTCTCTTCCTCCTATTCTCCGCCTCCCTTTACTAGACTTCTCTTTTCCTTTTCTCATTTTTTTCGTCAGTTTCTCTTTCCCTTTTTTCTTTCATTTTCTTTTTTTCTGTTCATTTCTTTTCCTTCTCTTTTGCTTTTTTATTTTTTTTTCAGTTTCTCTTTCTTTTCTTTATTTCCCTCTTTCTTCTCATTCTCCTTCCTATCTTGCTTATAAATTGCTTTACTTTCTTTTGTACCTTTCTCTTCATTTCTTCCTACTTTTGCGTTACTTCTTCTCTCCATTTTTTTCTCATTCTCTTCCTCCGTTTCTTGATATTTTCTCTCCCTTTTTCTCTGTCTCCGATTCTCCTCCCACCTTCACTTTACTTTACCTCTCCCTTACCCTTGAAGTTGCTCCCCTACCACCACCACCACCACCAACACCAAGTCTCCTTGCCCACTGGTGCCGGACCATTCTGCTTGTGATCACTTTGATCAGCCAACATGTCTCCTCCCTTGTAATTTCTTCTTTGATGTTCTAAACTCAAAGTGACTTTTTCAGAGTCTTCACTATATTCTCTGTCTCCTTCTTTTTCATCTGCCCCTCTTTCTTTTTTAATTTTATTTCTTATTGAAGATCTTTTTTTCTTCCTTCTTGTCAACTTTCCTCTTCACACACACACACACACACACACCCACCCACACCGTCTGTAGGTTTTCTCTTCGTTTTCCTTCTCACTAACCCTTTTCTTCTTCTCAGGCCTTTCATCTTGCTTTGTTTTCCTTCTTTTTCTTTATTCCTCTTTCTAACTGCTTCTTTTTTTTCTTCTTTTTTTTTTACCTTTTTCTCCATCTCTCTTACTTCCCTCTCTATTTTTTTCTTTGCCTCATATTCTTCAAGCTCCACTTTTTAATCTTTTTTTTCCTTTTTATATTTCCACTCTGTTTTTTCTACTTACTTTTTCTACTCTTAGATATTTCACCTCTCTCTCTCTCTCTCAGGGACTTTTACAGACACACAAAGAAAAGTCTTTGAAATGCACACATATACAAAAATAAATAAATGAATTAGAATTGGTCTAAATAAATAAAAAAATATAACTTTTTTTTCCCTTAAAAAAAAAACAGTCATAAACGATTTTAATAAAGTTTGATGTTTTTCTTGGGCAAACAAAATCTTTCTTTTATGTTAATAAACCTTGTGGGCACTTTCACTGATCATGCAATACTTAGTTGTTTATCATAAGCCGAGTTTGGTATCCTGCTAGCTGCCAAAAATAACAGCATATTTTGTTAAATCTTTTAGGTTTTCATCTGTGAATCTTTAAACACATTTTTTTCCAATATAATAATTCTTTAAGGGATCTGTGTATTACTTAATAATAACAGAAAACAGATGTACCAATTTTATCTCCAATACTAGTGTACCCTTGGTGTCAAAAACGATGGCAATTCTTAGAAAGTTTTAAACTTAATAGTGAGATGCAATGAAACAAAAGTCTTCAGATTCAATAGAGCAGAGATGAAGAATTTGTAGAATTTAGTTGGAGAAATAGTACTCAACTGTATTGGAAGTTGAGTCTGGTTTGAATATTGATTTATTGTATATAAAAAAATACAATTTTGGGTGGCACAAGGTCTAAAGGGGAGAATAGGTAAAGGCTGGTCATCACTTACTATCTTGTCCCTAGCTAATCTGATTCACAACCCATTCTCTCATTACAATTTGCACATCCATCACAAGAACCCATTCATTGCCACTCATTCCTCCATATACCATAATACCGCAATACTCTCAGGAGGATCTACAAAAAACACCCCATGACATAAAAATTTCATGATCATAAAATCCTATACATAAAAATCTATAAATGATCTACAATGAACAGGAAGGGGATGAACTCAAAAACAAACTAAAATAACAAAAAATGAATACGGTGTTTACTCGTTCCCCCACCAGAATGAGATGTGACACAAAGTCGTATTAAAGTGGGGACCCGAGCACGTACACTCAAGCAAGGGACAAAAATTCCCCACAACCGTCGGTTGTGCTGGCCTCGGTGTGAGCACCAATCCCTCCCTCTAGTGCAATGTGATGGCATGGCCTCGGGCAGCTGTTCCCCAGGGCTGGGCACCTCTCAGTATTATTTTCTCAGTTGCCCCTCTGTTCTTTGACAGAGAAGCCCCTTAGCGCACTGTGCCCAAAGACAGAAAATGAATACCTGCCTGGGCCATTTGCAGAGTGGTTTATGTAACAGACTGGAATGTTCCAATCTGCTACTTGGACAAGCCTATTCTCTAGGTGTTGATTGGATGTTGACTTTGGTGTGGCTACTCTACTCAATAAATATCCATCATTACACCATGAATGTATTAGATCACAGCCCCCCCCATTCCATTAGTGGGTGTGCTTCTTGATTCTGTCTATTGGCAGAATACAGCAGCCACTCTTATTATTATTATGAGGGGTGGACGAGTATTACTAACATTTGTTTACTGGGTCCATCCCCTCCTCCATCATTTCATGATTCATGAAATTTTTATATATGTTTTGAACTTTAATAAAATTTTTATGTCATGGGGGGGGGGGGGTTGTAGGTTCTCTGTGAATATGCGGTATTGTGGTATATGCAGGATTGAGAAGTAATGGATGAGTTCTTATGGTGAATGAGTGAATTGTAATGAATGAATGTGTCATGAGTCAGATTGACTAGGATAGCTAATGAAGATCAGCCCCTCCCTATTTCCCCCTCAGCCTTGTGCCACAATTCTGTATTGTACAGAATAAATAACTTGTATTACTTTACAGCCCATTTTCTTTTTGTCTGCCAACTGGACACTAGTTGAGAACTTCCTTGTGAGGGAGAGTTTCATATTTTTTTACTCTTCAGAATTCACATCTAGAATAGATGCTAATAAAATGTTTAATAAGTCTGTTCCCTTTATATTTTTTTAGATGTTCAAAGGTATCTATGATTCATTCCTTACTCCTAGTATTATATAAATCACTTTTTGCTCAATATCTTTTCATATTAACAATTTTATGTGTTTAATAACAGTGAAATGGGAATATCTCTCAGAAGAAAAATATTAGCGATAAAACAAGAAAGATGGAGATGACAAAGCCTATTTCAAGATCAAGTTGAAGCAAGACGATCACTTAATAGACATATCTGAGTCTCTCACATGAAGAGCTGGAACAAATAAGACTGTAATCTAAGAAACATAGGTGTAAAAGAACTGATTAATTAAATGGTTCATTTTGCTCAGAAAGTGATGAGATATTTAATAACAAAAGTGATTAACATATGAACTAAATGAAATTGGCTCTATACCCAAACACATATTTAACAAAAAAAGAAAAAAACTTAAATTTAAAATTTCAAAATTCTCTCTCTTTGATGTGACTGCACATAAATGTAAATATCACTTTAATCTGATATAGTCCAAAAGGATGAAATGGGCAACATGAAACATTTTCGCACTTTTCCATAGATTTTCCTGAAATTGTTCTGATATTTAAAAATTTATATATCAGGTTCCCATATATATATATATATATATATATATATATATATATATATATATACACACATACACAGAGGCCAGTGACTACAACTATTCTCTCATTTGCCGATTGAATACTATAGAGAAAGGGAATTCTTAACGGCTCCTGCTGCTTAATGCATTGCTCTTTATCAGAACTGAGCACTCTGGCAGCTGGTTTAGCGTTGTTGAGATGTTGAGTATTTGCCCGTGCGTGTATTGAAATAAGGACAAACATATACATAGGGAAAAATATTGGTATATCTGAAGAGAGATTAGTAGTCAAACAAACGCAGGTTAGTCAGTAACAATCAGAAAGAGTATAAAGTCCAACTGTATCTTCCGGTAGAGAGATGGAAATGTGATGGTCACCTGATCTCCCAGAACTCTATAGAACTGTCCTATTAGTAGTAGAGAGATCAGTCCATTCTGATGAGAAGGTGGGTGGCCCCAACAAGCGTTTATATACATCACATATATAATACATTAAATGATTCCTCATCTCTACTGTGTGCCAATAGGTCAGTGGTAGAGTCTCTGACTGTTGCCAAATCAGTTTAGTTTCGATTCCAGCTTGAATCTGTCAGATGTCTAGCCATACAGATGAGCTGTGATACAGTTAAACAGTCTGTCTGTGGATGATATATACACACACTCACACAAGGTCCAATCAAAAAGTATCAGGATTGTTCCTATGATAATGGAGTGAAAGTTCTGAAAGTGAAGCTGCTTGGCACAAATTGATCTTAAACTCTGTTGCACATGCGCATAGAAGTTATAACATTCTTGCTGACTGCTGTTGTTGATAGCAGTGTTTTGGAAGGAAAGTGTGTAGAGTGTGGTCATCTCGCCATACTACAATGGTTCTCTCAGTGATCATAGCTTGTGTAGAGAGTTTTTATCCGAAAACAATATTTGCCAGGTCCGACAACAAACATATTCCCCAAATCTCACCCCTGGAGACTTTTTTCTCTTCAAAAATCTAATCCCATTTGAAAGAAACAAGATTTCAAAATCTCAAGGAAATCAAAGATGATGCAAAGAAGTGGTTGCTCATTATTCCAAAAATGAAAAAAAAATGAAATGCTTCCAGCAATGGAAATGACGTTGGATAAAGTATATGGCTTCAAAAGATGACTACTTTGAAGGAAATTAAATGCTGAATTGATATGTGTTGTAGTTTTCTTTCTATAACCACAGTCCTGATACATTTTGATCTGACTTCGTATATAGGACATGTAGCTGAGTAGTAAGGATGTTTGTGTTCCAACCATAAAACCTAGGCTCAAATCATGCAGTGATATTGTGAACTGCTTGTAAACCAGTGGTGGAGGTACTAGTATCTTGGTCTTGTTCAACTCCTAATCATGCCAGAATAAGTTCTCTTGCCCAGAAACTCTAATTAAACTCTGCTCAGCATCGTTGCAGTATATATCACCGGTTAGTCTCTCTGGGTGCTGAATAAACACAAATATGCTTGAGCAGGCATCTGCAACAGGGATTAGCTTGCCAAACTTGGAAAACAAGTAGACACCATTTTATATATATATATATATATATATGTGTGTATGTTCATGAAGAAAATTCTCTTTTAGGCATGTCTGATTGAATAAGTTACAAACATTATGTCTGTTTATTTTGATCATAATCTTTTCATATCCACAAATATTTTCCCATATAGTACAATGAAATGAGGCAAAAAAAATGCACTGTAACTAACCATAGTAAATTTACTTGGGTGATAAAAGTGTTTCCCACTGTTACAGTGCATTTCTTGTCTCATTTAATTGGATTATACGGAAAAATATTCATGAATATGAAAGGATTATGATCAAAATAAGCTGACATAACATTTGTAACTTACTCAATCAGACTATATATATATATATATATATATATATATATATACACACACACATCATTCATCCTTGCTTTGAATA